ATATATAGTCATCTGTTTGAGCAGATAGGGATATACAGACACACAGACAGACACAGGCATTGAGATAATATAAACAGGCACCCAGATGGATTCATATCCACAAACACTGAGGCTTGTAGGCACAAACACACAGGGCTTGAAGAAATCAATATTTCTGTCATTTCACTTCTACTTGCAGAGTGACAAATCGATTAGGAGTTTGATTAACATGGCTTCTGAAATCTCACTTTTTAATTCTTAAATAGCTTTAAAAGCAAGAACTAAGTATACACTGTGTGCATTGGGGTGGAGGGCTTGACAAAAATTTGAGTTGTGGATCTCAGCAGGACTCCATGTCCTTGTTCTCCTTTCCTGCCTCTAACATGGCTTGGGTTGTGTTGGTTCTTTCCCTTCGAGGCCAGAGGTAAAGGGGTGTGAGTGCTTCCATTCAGAAAGTGCCAGAGCTCTTCTCAGGGAGCAGTCCCAGCACACAGGTTTCCTTTGAGCCAGGTGGTGGTCCCAGGTGCTGTGATTTGGCTGTTTTCTAATCTCACCCATCCCCACCTCTGCTGTCCTGCCCTGCCACCCTCCAGTATCTTCTCAGGGCTCTCAATGCCCAGCCCCTAATCTGGCACTGAAGGCTTCTCACTATCAGGGCCTTGGTGTACCTTTCCGGCTTTCCTTATCATGGTTCCCTCTCTTCCAGAATGTACAACTGTAGATCAAGGGACTTACTTATTGTCCCTTTGACTGCCCCACCCTGGAGTATGCTCCCCCACAAATCCAAATCCTACCCAGGGTATGACCACCTCCTCCAGGCACCTGCCCCGATTGTCAGTGGAAGGGAACAGTTCTCTTCTTGGAATTCCCAGCAGACCTTTACTCTAAGAACACCAACTCAACTATGTTTGGTTATTTGTGCACTTGTGTCTTAGAAAATATTCTTGTGGTTGTAAGCAGTAGAAATTAATTGTTGGACTTGTCGCCCCACTCCCCAAGTGATCCTGGAGTTTCTCATGGAACAACTGAAGTTTTCATTGTTAACACATCCCATGTGCAACAATTCCTGTTGGTATGACCCTTGGTTCTAAGTTTCACAATTTGGGGCAAGAAATTGGATTAGTGCAGCTTGGTTCAGAAGCCCACCCATGGATCAAGCACCAGTTCTTTCCAGGGGCATTTTAACACAGTCCAGACATGGCCACAGATGGCTAGGGGATCACCCCTGTGTTTGAGAGGAGGGGCCTTTAGCAAAGAAGAGAGAAAAGCTGCAACCTGGGCAGCCATCCAAAGAGGTAGCTAATTAAACTTGTCTTTGTGATTGACAGAAGAGAAAGAAAGGAATGCTGGAAGGATAATACAACAGATGTCCATTGTAAAGTGCTTGTGGAGTGAATGAGTCAATGTGCAAGTGACTTGTTCATTTGTTGCCTCTTAAAAGCCCTGAGGTCGGTTTGCCTCCCATTTCCTTGTCTCTAGAATACAATAATCACAGATTTTCCATCTTTAACATATCCTTTCCCATCACTTCAATCTTGGGGCACTCTCTGGGTAGCTGTGTGATGGAGGCATATGAAGTCTTTGCGTAGGTATAGACCTATGGCAATAAATGTCTGACACTTGGCCATTCATTCATGGGCATACATTTTCTGAATAACTGATATATATCAGACACTGGCAATAAGCCAGGCACAAGAGACTGTTCCTCACAGGACTTGGGGAGTTCACACACACCAATTGCAATAGAATGTTATTAGTGCCCCATTGAAGGATGCAAGGGTCTTGGGGAGGAACTTACCCACTCTGGCTGAAGCTTTTTAGAGGAGGTAATGTGAGAGCCAGGTCTTGCAGGGTAAATAGAAACTTGCCATGTAGAGAAGAAGAAAAGAGAATTCTAATCTGATGGAGAACTGCATGTTCAAGGCTGCAGAGGATTGTGAAAGAGAGTGGTGTGTTTGGGAAATTGGGAGATTGAATGTATCTGAGGTATAGAGTGTGTTTGTAGCAGGGGTGCTAGGAGTTGGAGGAAGATGGACAAGGGAGATGTGTGGGAAGAAAGTCTGTGGCCATATCATGGAAACTCTCTCATCTTAGCCTCAGGAGTTTTGACTTATCCAGGAATCGTGGTCTGGGGGATAACTGAAGGATTTAAGCAGGGGAGAAATGTATTTCAATATTTATGTAGAAAGCCCTAGTACATTCTTGGGGGAATGTAAAGGATTGGGGCTTTTGAAAGTCAATGTGGCAACATCTGTTGAATTACAATTCTATTCCTGGGGATCTATGCCCTAGAATTAAGGTTCTGATGTGTTAGAACATATGCATGAGGATGTTGAATGTTGAACGGTTTATAGAGGTCAGGAGCTAAACAAAAAGTGAATGCTCAGCAGTGGGAAAATGGTTTAATAAGTTGTGGTATATGCACAATATCCATTAATGTTCAGACATTGGAAAGAGTGTTTTAGGATTCTGCTGGATGACTTGGAAAGATTTCTAAGTTACATAGGAAAATCAAAATGCAGCAAAATGTGTATATATTATGGTCATATTTACAAAACAAGCAACAGGTCAGAAAACCTTATAAATGTATATATACTTAGATAAAAGTCTGTGTAAGAATGCATAAGTATGGAGAAAAATATAAAATGATACCTACTAGGTTAAAATTAGTTAGCTGAGTTTGGTGGGGGGAGGGAGTTACAAATATAAGGGAGTGATAATAAGGTACGGAAGATTAAAAGTTGTCTGCTAGCAAAGAGTACATGAGCTGTGGTTCTGCTTAATGTAAAATTAAATATGATTTCATAAAGATAGATGGGCAGTAGAGTGCTGTGATTTCAGATTTAATGAGTTTCTCTTCTCTCTCCCTTTCTGTGTATACATATACAAGCATGTATGTGTTCACAAACATATGTATATATATGTATATGTTCAATTCTTTAAAAATGTAATAGCTATTTCAATGAAGGAAGGCAGAGAAAGAAAGATCATTGGTTATTTTTTAAAAAGCAATTTTCTAAAAGAAATCATATGTTCAATTGCCATAAACATTATAAGAATTGTAGCTTAAAATTACATGTAAAAGCCTGTAGTCAAATGGTTGCATCTTTCAGAAAATCCTGCTCCTTCTCATTAAATAACTGTAAATGTGAAGACATGATTTTTTAACCTTGATAACTGGAGTTTGCCCTATAATTAAACCTTACTTGGTAACTTTGCTCCACCATGCTGGCCTCATGGTGCCCTTTGTTTGCTATACTGACTCAGAATAAAAGCCAAGTCCCCACCTTGTCTACCACAGCCCTATAGATCTACTCCCTTCACCTCCACGTCATTGCTCTCAACTCATCTCCTACCCCAGCTGACTCTTCCCACACTACTCTGGTCACCTTGCTATTCCTCGCACATCTCAGGACACTTCTGCCCCCAAAGCCTTTGCACTTGCTGATCTCTCTCCTCAGAGCAGTTCGCCCCAGATATTCACATGGCATCCTTCCTCCTGTGCTTCAAGTCTTTGTTCAAGTGTCTCTTTCTCAATGAGCCTTCTCTGATCCTTTTATTTTAAATTGTGAGGTTTACTTCCCCATCCACCCCTAACACTCTCTAGCCTTCTTTCATGTTCTCTTTTCCTTCATAGCACTTGCTACTTGCAACATATTACATACATTGCTCATTTATTTTGAAAATTGACTGTTCTCTCACTTGAATGTAACATTTGCTGGAGAAGTGATTGTTTGCTGCTACAGTCTAGGTCTTAGAACAATATTTGACATGTAGTAACTAATATTTGTAGATGAGTGAATGAGTTGGTGGCAGGTAAAGAATGTTTGATGCAGGTAAGAGCAGCCAGCTCTTGGTCTTTGGAAATTGTGGGGTGTTAGTAGTCATCATGGTGCTGTTTCCTGGTTGCAGGAAAGACTAATCAGAAGGCTGTTAAAAGCCGAAGACAAAGGAACTTGAGCTCAACCTTAGTCATTAACTATGCAGGTCTTCTGTTGTGAAATGATGGTGAAATTTGTTATTGTCTTTTTAGTTTAGTTTTGTTTAAAGTTTTATTTTTAATTGACACATAACAATTGTCTTTTAACTTCTCATTAGTTTATCTTGATACTTTAGGAAGATCAAAAGCTCCTTGAGAGTAAAGGCTTGACATCTTCATCTCTGCTTTTCCCACAGTAGCTGGCGCTTATATGAAATATAAGGTACTCAACAAATGTACAATACTTTATTAATGATCTGATATTACTGACTTTTGCCTAAGTGAATTTTAGAGTGCATTTTATTTGATTAAGATGTTAGGAACTAATCTATGTTCTCATGCTGTTATACTAAATAAAGTTAATTTTGTTCCATGACAAAAGCAATATACATGCTCACTATAGAAAATTTGGAAATTAGAGAAAAGCTGAAAAAAACAAAAAAGACTTTAGTTTTTATTACCCATTAAGATGTAGCATTCAAACATTATTGTAATAATTGTGTGTTTACAGTTCCATTTTTGTATACTGCATTTCCTCCTTTATGAGCACATACATTTTTCTTTGCTATAAACTTTTGGAAATAATCATTTTAAATAAGTGCATATTACATAATCATAGCTATACCATAGCTCACTTAGCATAACTATTATTTTATATTTAGGCTATTTCCATTAACTTTTTTTAAAGAGATGGGATTTTGCTGTGTTGCCCAGGCAGATCTTGAACTCTTGACTTCAAACAATACTCCTGCCTCAACCTTCCATTTCCCCTATTGTAAAGATCATTGGCTACTCTGTCAGACTTTGTTGCCTGTTGCTTATTAGTCTGGTCATCTGCCCTTAAAACTTGGTGCTTCAGACTTGTTATCTATAAGATGAAGAGAATGAGAAATGACTGGGAATATCAAGGTTCATGAATGGGAGAAACACTGCTGAACATATCAGATGTAAACATCTTAGTAAACATCAGATGGTCTAGAATTGAGACCTTTGGAAATTGTGGGGTGTTAGTAGTCATCATGGTGCTGATTCCTGGTTGCAGGCTACACCTGATGCAGGTGGATTCAGTCCAGCGCTGGATGGAGGATCTGAAGCTCATGACTGAGTGTGAGTGCATGTGCATCCTGCAGGCAAAGCCCATCAACCTGGAAGAGGATGCGCAGGGTGACCTCATCCTGGCAGGCGGCCCTGGCCCTGGAGACCCCCTGCAGCTGCTGCTCAAACGGGGCTGGGTCATCAGCACAGAGCTGCGCAGGATCGGGCAGAAGCTGGCCCAGGACCGCTGGGCACGGGTGCACAGCATGAGTGTGCGTCTGACCTGCCACGCCCGCTCCATGGTCAGCGAGTACAGTGCTGTCAGCAGGAGCTCCTCACAGGAAATCGGCCAGGTCAGCTGCCCTGGGATAGGGGTGGGCAGGAACTGAAAGTCAGGATGCTTTAGAGAAGAGTGGATTTGAATCATGTGGTATCTGAATCTTTGTTGCTCCGGAGGCCTTTCTCCCCTTCTAATAAAGGAGGGAAGAAAGATAGTAGAACCTTTACTGAGTTCCTACTATGTGCTGGACATTCTGCTGGATTTTTAAAATATGTATCTCATTTAAACTGTACAACCTGTAAGGTAGGTGCCACTACTGTGAGAAGCTATGCAATGGTTAAATTTATTGACTTTAATGTCAGACTGCTTGGGTTGAAATGTCAGCTCTGCTATGTGGATACTGGCAAGTTATTTAACTTCTCTGTTTCCCAGTTCCTTCATTCTAAAAGGTATGATAATCGCATTTATGTTATAGATTTGTTGTGAGGACTAGATGAATTGTTATATGCAAAACACTTAAAGCAATTAATTAAAAATATGTTAGTATTACCATTATTTTGTAGATGAGGAAACAGAAGTTCTGAGAGACCAAATAATTTGTTTAAAGTTATGGAGCAAATGGTGATAAGTAAGGTTCAATCTAAATTTTCTGATTTTACAGCCCATGTCTTTGAATCTTCTTCTCAAAGCCCAAAGTGAACCATTAAAAATCTCCCTTATTATTTCTTTCGTCATTCTCATTTAACCTTAGTGCTTTACCCCTTGCCTTGAAGATTTTCTTCCTCTGCTTTGCAGACATTGAAACTTCTCTTCATTCTTGAAAGCCCAGCTTAAATACTCCTTCTTCCCTGAAGCTTCTCAGCTTCCTCAGCATAAATAATTGCTCAGTTTCATTTTCTTATACTCCCAAAGCAGAAGACAGTGATCTCTTGCCACCCATATCACACTCTGTTACAGTTTAAGTGCCTGTTCCCCAAGTCACATTACTCGATTCTTCATTTTTAATACCCCCGAGTACTCAGCACAGCAGTTGGTCCTCAATCAGTGCTTACTGAGTTGAATAAAATTGACTTGTTTTTCTACAGATTGAGAAGCTGCTAATGGAGAAATGCTCAGAGCTGTCGGCAGTCACAGAGAGGTAAATCTGGACCCTGGATCTCCCAGGGTCTGCCTGCCTGACCTCTGGTAGAAGGGGCTGGTATCTTCTCCCAGAGGTAAAATGGGAATGGGAGGCCTAGTGGTGGTTTCAGAGTTTCCTTTTTCTGATTTTTATCAGAAATCTTAAAGATTCTCTTGAGTTTTTTTTTCTGCCCCATGTTCAGGTCTTAGGGATAAGGTAAAAAAGGCAGAGGAAAGGCCTGGGCATAGGAATAAAGAGAATTTTCTAGGAGTTGGTAACAAGGAGAAAGTTCCCACAGCTTTGGGAAGACCCACTGATCTCCAAAGTCAAGGCAAGGTGAAAATAAGATACTCATACCCTTACACACATACACATAGACTTCAATGCCCACGGACACTTTCTCATACACAGATATATAAACACATGCTCGGACCAGCACAGAAATATACTCACACTCTCTCCTCTATATTTCACATACATAAACATACATATGTTTATACTCAGCTATGTATACACACTCAGCCTCACGTGTATACACACCCATTGTTCTTTACCCCTCCCAGCGCCTGTGTCCTGAAGATAAAACCTGGGTCTTGGCATCCCCTGAGCTCCCTAGGGTCTTTTGCTTTCCTGGGTTGAACACTGTCAGGCTACAGGGGTAAATTTGAACCTGATCTCCCTCTGTTTTCCTTGTCTGGAAAGAAAATTCTCAAGGTTCTCTGCACACTCTAGGCAGCCATTTCTTAAAGGGCCACAGGGATTGCCATCCACATTTACAGAGCTCACTAGCATTACCTGGCACTTGGCACCTCTCCTTGAAGTTTCTTGCCCCTCCACCTCCACCCCAACATTACTGAGAAGATAGACCTTGGCTGCAATGATGGCAGATTCTCTAGGGTATAGATTTTCCACACTCTGATGGCCTTTCTTCCTGGTGATGTGGATGGTAGTTCTCATCTCAGGCTAGGACTTTTCTGCATACTAAGAGACCAGGGGGTGAGCCAGATGTGGGATAGTCTCTGACTCCCAGTTGTGGATGTCCTTCTCTCTAGGATACTTTCACCCCACACCAGACTTGGAGCAGGTCCAGTTCTGGCCCCTGCAATGTTTCTGGCCTGACCACCTGCCCTTTCCAGTGACCCACCTCATGCTTTCTTCCCTTCAGGTGCCTTCAGGTTGAGAATGAGCATGTGCTGAAGTCAATGAAGGCCTGTGTCAGTGAGACCCTGAGCACGCTGGGCCAGCACTTTGGCCAGCTGCTGGAGCTGGCCCTGACACGGGAGGTACAGGTCAGTGCAGGCTGGACTGCAGGGAGGGGTGCCTGTGTGGACCCTTGTGGGAAAGGCGGGTAAGAGGGGCTGAGCCAGGCTTTGGGAAGCTACTAATGTGGACTTTATTGGGAAACATCCTACTCAAACCTCCAAAGTCAACTCCACAGTCTGTGAAACCAAACTGTCAGAGCTGGGCTGAGGCTTTCCAAGCACCTAAGCCAATTCTGCATTTTCCAGATGTGAAAACTTGAGCCTGGAGTGGGGAGAAACTTATCCAAGGTCATAGAGCAAGATGGTGGCAGAGCCCAGCATCTCCCAATTACACCTTCAGTATCGCTCCCACCACCCTCAATCTCTGTTGAGTTATTGTTCACAGTGCATTTGATGGATCCTTACTATCTTGAAAGAACAGAACTGAGGCACCTGCAGGGAATATGCCAATTCTAGAAATCCTGACAAAAGAGAAGAACCTGGAAAGGTCATATAGTCTAGCCCCTGCCTCTAGGCAAGCTTGTGCTTAATTCCAGAAAGAGAGAGGGCTTTCGAGCCTGACAGACCTACTTTCAAACTGTGGTTTACCATGGAGCCTTGGTTAAGTTCCTGAACCTCTCTTAGCCTTGTTTTCCTCCTCTATAAATTGAGAAACTTCCCCCAAAAGAAAAGTGAGAGGACTAAGCAGAGGCATATGGAAGGTGCTTAGCATATAGTGTGGGTTAAATACATGTTATTTCCCTCCCTTGCCCTTTGCTATTTTAAAAACCTCCCAGTAAAGCAGATTCCATAAGGTTTTCATTATGAAAGGTATTTATGGTTATTTATAGTTACAGAAATATTGTGTTACATATTTGCCATTCTTTTCCCACCACCAAATAAAAGCCTACCACAAATAACAAATCTCTTTCCATATCGGCTCCTCTCCAAATTCAGCCTCTGCTGAGCCCAGGGTATGCTTTCTCTTCTTCCTGAGTGTTTCACTGTTGGACCCTTCTGGCCTGACTTGCATGCTGGTCCTGCCTCACCCCCACTCCTCCTACAAGGTCCCATGTCAGTGAGCTCTTCCTGAGTAATATCACCCTCCACCCCAACCACAGAAAGGTTCTCAAGGGCCACCCTTCGTTTTGACAGAGACAAAGGGAAGAAAGGGCCACAGGCTGGGGTGCTGGGGCAGGCACTTGAAACTGATGAGCCAGTGCTGACAGTCACATGCAGGGGCAGGCAGTGATCAATCCTCAAGTCCAGAGGGACCCATGGGACACAAGGACCAAAATGGGCAAAGAAGTTGAGGGAGTGAAGAGCAAGAAATATTGGAGTTAGTGGTGGGGAGGGAGACCTGGAACAACTTCTGAGCAGGGGTACAGGTGTTGGCTGCTGCTTTTTATACCATTTTTGTGCCCACTTGCCTGGAAGTGCCAGGTTCAATTAAAAAGGCTGAAAAGGAGGTGGTAAGTTGGACTGTGAATGAAAGCCAGCTGGGTTTGAAACTAGTCATCAGTGTGTTCTATGAGGCAGCAAAGAGGCAGGGTATCTTTGATGCTTTAGGTCAGGAGAGCCTGGGAAAAATCTCTCTGGACTTGCTTGGAGCCTACTTCCCTGGACTTTGGGCTGTATATTTGGATCCATTCTGGTATTTCTTCATTCTGACCATATCTAGGGTGAAACTCCTGATCTGGTCCTTCTACTTCCCCAGCCGTTCCTGCTTTATTGCCAGGTCTGACCACCTGGTTCACTGATGCCTGGCTTGGAAGCTGAGCAGATCAGCTCTTGCTCTGTTAGAATGGGTTCCTTATTGGCACCCCACCCCTGGTGGGAGTATGGGGAGTGGGTGGCCACATGTCCTCCACTCATCTGCATATTAGTTTTCTTTCTGATCACCCCTTTTCCTTTTGGTTTCCCCCTTCCCTGCCAGCATGTCCCATGGTTTCCTCCATACCCTCCTATGGGCTGAGCTTGCCGTCCTCATAATATATTTTTGGCTGATCTTTGGCTTCTTTTTACATTAGGAAGTTTCCATACAGGGCAGCAGTGACATCAGGAGATACATTGGCTGAAGACAGAGTAATTTATGTTCAGCATAATAAGCATGTATTTCTTAAACTAATGACTCAGATATTGTTCCGTAGGATGTTAGTAATTATACCTGGATTCTACATTTGTGCTGTTTTAATGTAAATGAAATCAAATCCATTTCTTTGCATCAAAACTTGTCTTATGATGTGCTATTCTGTACTGCAAATCTTCCAAAAAGTCCTCATGCACTCATAGTATTTCTTCTCTGACCTGAGCTTCTACAGGCAGGGATTTTGGTTTGCTTTGCTCATGCATATATATCTAATAACTAGAACAATATCTGGCATAGAATGTTGAGCAACATATTCCAAACTTTCAGGGTCACAGATTTAAAAAGTATTATTAATGCACCTATTTACTTCTTCTGAGATGCTGGTGTTTTAGGAAATGCAATTTGGGAAACATTCTTTTAGCACTACGAAGTCATGTTGGCTCTTGAGCAGAGGAACATATCTTCCCCACCCACTCCACCCCAGTGTTAAGGGCTCCTTGGACTCTTTAAATTATGGTTGGGAAAGATTGGTACAAATTGAGAAGTCCTGAAGGAAACTCCCATTGTTGTACAGTCAGTCTGGAATAAAGTTGTTGAAGGAAACCCAACTTCCCATACACTGGAATGAGGCCCTCCTGGCTGAGATGAATAAGTATGAAAATTGAATAGACTGTACTAACTAAGAATCTGGGACTTTGGATTATTCCTAGAGTGAAAGGATTTAATTTTTTTCTTTTACTTATTTTTTTTTCCGGGGAACTTTAAAATGGGATAGGAGCATATTAAAATTTTGGACATCTTTATGTTTGTTATCTGACAAGTATGTTTGGATTATCTTTGTATTACCATTTGATCTCATTGCAGCTTCTACTTACCTATATTGGGCAACATGGGTGAGCAAAATCTGCTCAGTGGGAGAGTGGAAAATAGAATAGGAAGCAAATTTCAATGCTTTTACTTTTAGGAATAATCCACAGTCCCAAATTCTTAGGTTAGTACAATCTCTTCAATTTTCATCTCACCCAGAGGGCCTCATTCCAGTGTGTGAGGAGTTGAGTTTCCTTCAGCAGCTGTAGTCCAGGCTTTTTCTTCAATAATGAGAGGGGTTCCTTCAGGACTTCTCAATTTATACTAGTCTTTCCCAACCATAACTAAAAGGGTTCACGAAGCCCTTAATACTGGATACATGATGCTTTCATAGCACTACCTATATATTTTCAGAAAGTTAAAATAAGCCAATCTTCAATCCCTAAAGAATTTCAGGAACTCCAGGAAACATTTTGTACCAAGATGCCACCCTTAGGGTTGCCAAAGGCCTTATCAGATATATGCTCATTGGTAGCCAAGAAAAATAAAAAGAATGTGTGACTGAGACTGTCTTGGTTGCAGCCTTGGCAGGATGTTAGTCAGTTTATTTCAGTTGAATACAGTCTATAAAGATTTGTGAACATACACTCACTGGGGAAAAATATCCACCATAGGTTAATTATGTTACTATGTTTACCATATATGGGGAAAAAATGTCTCCTTTCTCACTGATGGGCATTTGAACTTTTTTATTTTCCTGCAGTCAGGCATTTGCAACTTCTTTCCTGACTTGCTTGATTTGCATTCTTTCCCATCCAGCATATTCAAAACATCTAAATTTCTGGCTCCCGCAAAACACTGTATTTTTGTCACCCCAGCATGCATTGATTTGGGCTTCTTGAATTGACAGACCAATAGTCTTCAAAGCACTTCAAATGCACTGCATTCCCCCAGGTTCCCAAAGATTTCCCAGGAGAAATACAAGCACATATTCTTTTAAGGAAATCTTATTTCCAGATCTTTAATTTTCATTTGTTTTCTTTCTTAAAAATGATCTTCCCGACAATACACTGAGTTATTTTATAGGCCTTCTATTACTTTCCAAAAGGAATATTCTTCACCCATCCCATGCAAAAATCTGGGTATGGGAGTGGAGAATCAAGCAAAGGAAAAGCCTTCACTTATGAACCATTAAGACCCTTAGGCTTCCATGAATTATTTCCATGCTTCATACAGTTTATATTGAGAGTGCCATTAGAAATTTTGTATTTTTCTAATGTGTGAGAAGTTTCTCAATTCAGATATATGGTAGTGTGTGTGTGTGTGTGTGTGTGTGTGTGTGTCTGTGGTTGGAGGGATGATTATGAAAGTTGAAAGTTTTCAATTTATTTTATCCCTTCCATCCATTTATTCTCAAATAGTGTATGGCCCTTGAGGGACATTCTCCTTAGACCAAAGCAAAGAGAGCGCTGGTAGGACACATCAAGCACTAAAAATTGTTTTTTTAGGATGTTATATCTGAGCGAGTTGTTAGGAAAGCACCACACTCTGAAATCTGATTGTGAGTCCTGTATTGCCAGCCACCGAGAGTCAGCTCACACTCAAAATCTTATGGCCCTGAGGAAGGGGTTTGATTTCCTTTTATATGTTGCTCAGGGTAAGGGGGCAAAGTGGAATTTTACAGAAGCAGAATAAGCAAGTTAGGGGAGGAGTCTGGCAACTTGTAGGCAGGAGGCTCCCATGATTGTTGATTAACTAAGGTTATATACAAGCGGTTCCCATGATTGCTGGTTACCAAGGGTGGCATTTGGTGTTTTCCATACAATCAATCAAGGGGGTATTCATAATAGCAAGTGGGCTTGTCAAACAGGATATGGTTACAATGGTTATATGTTTCTGTAGTTCTAAGCACAACATGACCCAGTACAGTGTGGCCCAGGTATGCACTCAAGGGAGAAAGGTTGGGGGAGAAGCCAAGATGGAGTCAGTCAGGCTCACATCTAAGATGGAGTTGGTTTGGTTTATCTCAAGGACACATATATAAATGCAAGCAATTCCTTTTAGCTGTTTTTCACACTCATTCCTAGGATGTGACTCTAAAGATTAGTGAGACTGATTCTTTTAAATGTAACGGAAATATGCTTTTGACAGC